TAGTTGGAAGGATCCCAACATTGTCAAAACCTTTTAGAAAGTTGTATTCTAGAGGTTGTGTTAAATGGGAAAGAGGGTTCTAGCTTGAAGGCACTTTCGTGGAAGAAAGTTGCCGATACTTTGAAAAGCACACATAATTTTGTGGTCGATCGAAAGCAAATGCGGAACCACTTTGACTACTTGAAAGGAAAATATGGTGCTTGGTTGAAATTAAAGAACAAAACCGACAACGTTTATGACCCTTCAACAAACACGTTTAACTTGACCCCCGAGGAATGGGACTTGGAGATAGAGGTTGTTTTCTAACTTTAGATCTTGTTTTATTTCGATTTTTTTATTTTATTTGTATATTTATATATGTTTCTTTAACACAGACCAATAGGTATGTCGAATCATTGAGGACTACAAGTCTTCCATATCCCGACCTATGTGCGCGATTATTTGAGGGTGGTATGTCCACGGGTATTGGAGGTCATGGACCGTCGTCAAAAGATCCTTTGCCAACTACCGAGCCTTTTGTTGTCATTGAGGAAGAGATCAATGTCTCAAGTGATGAAGCTCCTGTGTCTTCAACACCCGTTTCATCCCGTGCTCCGGTTGAGAAACAGAAGCGTAAAAAGACTATGGCAACGAATTCGGAGCTTTTTGAAAATTTTTAGATACTATGGCATCGAAATATGGGAACCCTGAACTTTTTAGTTATGAGTCATGCCTAAAAAAATTGAACGAGCTTGGGTGGGCAAAAGATGATCCATTGTACCGTATTGCCTTTTCACTTCTTACGGACAACCGTAACAGAGAAGCTTGGATGACAATACCGTCTGAAATTGCAAAAGAATGGGTGAGAACAGTTGGGGCAAAGCAAGGATATCAGTAAAGATTGGTGCCACGTTTTTAGAACGTTTGTGAAGTATAACATTTATAGAACTTTTGTGTGCTAACTTGTGGGTTTTTTTGGATGACAATTTGGTGCCACGTTTTGTTGGACATATGATGTTTTTTGGATTTATGACATGTATGTGGCTATTGATTTATGATAAATGTTAGTTTTGGATTTATGATAAGCATGGTTATTTTATGCATTTCTTTTTAGATTTATAATGTTTTGTTTGGATTTATAATGCCTTTTTATTTAAATAGATATGTTGACTTTTGAGGAAGAAATGATGATCGTAGTCCTAATATATATATATATGTAAAACGGCGAAGAAATGTTTCGGAAAGAATAGAAAGAATGTCTGATAATACTTCAGCACTTAGCGGATATGCGTACACCCAAGAGCTATTAACTGGACCTAGTACGCAATGTCAAGAGTTGATGCGCCTCTCACGTGAAGCGTATATACTGTTATGCAATCATTTTAGACAACGAAATTGGGTGAAAGATAGTAGACATGTTAGTGTAGAAGAGAAAATGGCAATGTTTTTGACGATGATTGGCCATAACGAGCGTTAAACGTAGATTTCAACGCTCCACAAGAACTGTTCATGTTTGTGTCCATGAAGTTTTACTGGGTATGATGGAATTCACAAGAGAAATAGTGGTGCCAACAACTTCTGATACAACTTCAAATACGTCGAGTCATCAAAGACGTTTGAGAGAAATATTTCCGGTAAGACTTATTATTGACGTTTTAAAGTTTTATATAAACACACACACACACACACACACACATATAATGTATTTAATCTTTTTTCTGTTAATGAAGGGTGCAATAAGTGCTCTAGACGGTACCCTTATACATGCAATTGTGCCAGCTAGTCATCAAACTGCTTACAGGGGAAGAGGAGGCGGTCGATGCTATCAAAATGTTCTAGGAATTTGTGATTTCAACATGATATTCACTTTTGTTTGGGCTGGATGGGAAGGTATAGCGCATGATTCTAGAATACTTAGGGAAGTTGCTTTTAACCCAAGATCTGGTTTTCCCTTTCCACCACAAGGTATGTACCATTCTCAATTTGTAATTTGTTTTTTTATTTGTATATTATACGATTGATGTGGGTGGTTTTTCAGATAAATATTATCTTTGTGATACTGCCTACGCCAATGCTCGTGTATTTTTTGGCTCCATATCGTAACACAAGGTATTGGTTGGCAGATTTTCGACTTCGACGTCGACGTGCTTAGACTAAAGAAGAAAGGTTTAATCATGCACATGCCCAACTCAGAAATGTTATTGAACGTGCTTACGGTGTCTTGAAAGCGAGATTTCCGATCTTAAAGCAGATGGCTCCCTTTCCATTTACAACACAAAGAAATGTGGTAATTGCTTGCTTTGCGATACATAATTTCATCAGAAAATATAATATTCAAGACCAGTTGTTTATGGAGTGCAATGAGGATAATATATTTAACAACGAAGAAGAAGTCGAAGGAAATGGAGAAGAAGAATTGGACATTTCACAATGGGGTGCTAATAGCACTCAATATATGGCTACTTTGAGAGATGGAATTGCAAATAGTTTGGTCAATAATGTTTGAACTTGGATTTTTGTGTTTGAACTTGTATTTGAACTTGGCTACTTTGTGTTTGAACTTGGATTTATGAATTTATGTTTTGTTATTTAAATATTTTATTTTTCAGAAATATCATTTGCCTTAAAAATGAACAACAGTATACTAAACAGCCCATAGTTAATACTCAGGGGTAAATTGGTCATTTTTGTTATTCAGACTGTTGATTCAAATAGAAAAGTAAACAGCAACCCAAATTTATCCAGACAGACAAATTTATCCATACAGGACTTAATAGAAAATTTGGTAAACAGCCCCTAAAAATACCTACAAACATGAAGAAGGATGAAAGCGAGTTGGCATGCTAATTCCTCTCAGCCTTTCTTGTGGATTATTTTCATATTACCTTTCCTACAAAGACTAATGAAGAAAAGGGGTTTGCTTATCCGTAGCTCCAAAAAGATCGATTGGGTCCATTGAAATGAAATGTGTTTTTGCTTTTAGCTGTTTATTCATCTTTTCAAAATTTGAACATAATTAATTCATTTGTAAAAATGATTCTAAGATAAATTTTCTAACAAAATAAAAAGATGGTATATATGGTTGGTCATATGTTCTTCGCTGAGAATGATCCAATTATCAAATCTTGGATGGAAATTTCTTTATGATCAGACACGCAGTTGCAGGACGGAGCTCCTCCCACTGCTTGGGAGATTATGCTCTTTAGCCAATGTAGCACTTAATACAAAATCATTCAGTGCAATTTGATTAGTTATTCTGATTCAGATTATGTGGTTGACAAAGACAAGTGCAAGTCTTCACCGGGAAATGTGTTCACATGAGGTAGCACCAGGTTGCAAACGGTAGCAGCGTTGACTACTACAGAGGTAGATCCAATTGTTGTAGCTAAAGCGACAATGGAAACTTTATACTTGGAAGTATCTTGCTGAAAATTTGGTGTGCAACTCAAGGATGAAGCACATATATGTAAGGGAGATCTTTCTCAAAGCTCTTTAGCACGTAAATTGTTGTGCTGTGTATCTCATGTTCATGATTATGGCTTGTTTGATTCGTTTCTGGATTTGGTATCAAGTTAGAGTGCACTACTTAAAAGTGGGCTTCCAGTGACAGAATTCACCAACAGGATATTGGTGTCATGATTGGTGACACCAAGCCCACCAAATTGGTTATGTGATCCTAGCAACGTGTCTTGGTCGCGAAGAGGGACAAGGCTATGGTTCAGAATTTGCGAGGCTGCCATTATTGGTTGCAGTGTAGCCAGGTGATGCTAGAAAATCAAGTTGGATAGTGAAGATCACTCGGTACAGAAACAACGATTCTAGCTACGGGGTTTGTGACTAAATGGAAACAATGACTTAAATGCTAAGGTTTAGGAACTTACCGTGTGTGGATCCTTTACTCCTCATTGGATATGAATAAAAAAAAAAGAGGGAGAGTTCTTGGGTTTACATTTTGCAGAGCGAGAAGGATTTGAAGCTTGTAATTGAAGAACTCCTTGTACCTACTTTCCGTATTGAATAGACGAACCACCATCTCTCTTTCATGGATGTACACTATCACATTGGTAGTGGAACCACATTAAATCTATTACGCTATTGTTTGTTCAGGACCTTAGTGCTTGTGAAAGGAAAAGTAATTATCATCCAACACTTTATGCTAGCAAACAGAAACATGTATAATCTACAATTTATGACCGTAAATTTGTGCTAACAAGTCGAAAGTTCGGGCTCTAACATATCATATAAGGTCATACGAAATGAGTCTTTTAGAACGTACATGTGTGTAAAACTAAATAACTAAATGTGAGTTTAAGTTCATAGGACGAAGTTAGGTGATCTATCAACTTCTATCAAAGAATTTGGACAACTTAATATGACACAAAAAGTAAATTGTCATATTAACCTTTTTAGAGGATACGGGTTTTTTAATTACTAAACATTGTCCTGACATGTGTCATATCTAACAGCCTTTGGATTAATTCACCCCTTCGCATATATAAGTAGACCTATGCACCACATGCGGAGGCCTCACGACATGGCGACAAGCTAATCAACGGCTACGGGCTTGGTCTCACACATTGTGTGTAATCGTTCTCATTATCCGATGGGTTTTATTTAGATATGTGGAACCAAGTGTCCCAAGACAGAGATGATGTTGTACAACGAGATCAAGTTCTACACATTTGGTCTTGTGATCAACTTAAGCTATACGAAATACCATAGCCACGAAAACGTTGCATAGCTATTGACCAATTTAGTTATTGTGCAAGAAAATTATCGTCAGTGATGGAGTTGTTATATAAACTTTCAAAATCCTTAATTGAATCAACATGAAAGCAATCATTTTTGCAAATAACTCCAATCTATTTTTAATCCGATAACTTTCAACACTAGACGGGTCACATTCACAGTTGATTATATGATGGGAAATCCGAAAAACACATGGTCATGAAATTTAAGTGAAAACTAGTTGATTCAAAGCAAGATACTTGAAACAAGAACGCAATATGTTTGGTTGCAGATTAGGACTTAAGAGTTACAGATCAAAGTGATCAGTGCCACATAAAAGCATATAAAGTAAAGACAGCATTTAGGAATTAAGAAGAGAATCTCTTTGACAACGACCTGAACCTGTTTGTTTTTGCTCAGATCAAGAAGACGTAATTCTCTATCTAATCTCGTATAATATGGTCTCTTGATGTTGCCTCAGAATCCATCCCTAGCCGAAGCTCGAGGTCAACTTCTGTTGACGACGACGATAAAGAAGAAACTTTATGTGATCTGATGCAAGAATCAGTTGTAGAGGATGATTCGATACATAAAGAGAGTTGCAGTGTTGGTTTTTGGAAATCAAAACCATGATCTTTCTTTCTACTAGGGCTTACGGGACTATTTTCTTCCCTGAAAGTCCATGATCTCTTTAGTACACCATCACCCTTCTCATCGCTTGAGGACTGTGCTTCGCCTTGATCCATGGAGTTTGTTCCCTTTGTGGGTTCTGTCGTAATTAGGGTTTCTTCTTGTAACCTGGCCCTATCTTTTCTGTGCACGTTCATGTGGCCTCCTAGTGCTTGTGCATTCGAGAAGCCCCGTTTGCAGAAAGTACAAGTGTAAGATCTACTTTCTTGTCCAAAATCGCCATTGCTGGTGCATAGTAAATTTAGTGAAGGTCCTGTACTTCCAGTGTTCTTTATTTCCATACCAAGATACTCTACAAATTAGAGAGAGATAGAGGGGTTCTGATTGTTGGAGTTGGGAATTATGCTGTCTACGTTCTCTGAATCCGAATGATACTTGTTTCTTCAACCAAAAAAGGTGGACTTTTTGTTATAAAAATGCAAGAGACATGGTAGTTACAGATGTCTGCTATCAGGACACCTTGCATGCGCAGGATTTCATCACCATATTGTTGTGTGTATATCTAAACAAATAAAACCCTAAATTCCTTTTAGAAAATGGCTTCTTGACAATTACGATGTCGTTATCGTTTTAAGAAATGAATATTCATAAAACCCATCACGTTAGATGCTATTTAATGATCATTTCATGGGTTATATCAGTTTTCCCATAACGTATATCAAATAGGGTTCCTTTGATTTAAAATATAGTTCGATAAGGGATAGATTTGAATCTTATAAACTTAGTAGACTAAACATCAGTTGAAAACCAAATGAAAATTAGATCTCTTTTAAGAATGAATTAGATGAGCATGTTGGATATGGTGTCAACGTCTCTTTCAAACATGATGATGCCATCAGAAGCGTTGAGATTTTTTAGTCCTCGTATTTTATCCAATCGACCAAACCACTACAAGAAAAATGATCTTTAGAGAAGCTTTTCTTTTGTATTTAAAAGTTTGAAAAGCTTCTCTAAAACCTTTAGAGAAGCTTTTTACTTCCGTTAGCAACCTTCCCTATATAACGGTAGGAGAAGGTTTTAGGGAGGGTTTTCGAAAGGGTACATTTATGTTGACATTTAGAGAAGCTTATTTTAGTCTTTGGAAACACTTTCAAAGCGTATCTAAAGGTTGGCCGAATTTTTTT